CATAGGTGCACACACCCTATGGCAAAAATCTTAAAACAACAACAACAAAAAGTGCCATAGGGTACCAGGTTACAGGCCCAAAGGGACATTGTAATAGTCAAGAAGTAAACCTTTATTTTTATAAAATTTTAAATTTTTGAATTACCATTGAGAAACTGTAAAATCTTATCAGCATATCTGACATTTCTTATTAAAATCTCAAATACATGATAAATGCATATGGCTACCAAAGATGGCTACCTATGATCATGGTGGCCCTCAGTCAGAAAAAAATTTTTATAACAAAATTCTATCAGACAAGGGAACATAGAACTATATCAAATACATTTAGTCATGAAATCAAAGTAGATTAAACAGGCAAGACACACTTCCAGTAGCCCATCCTTAGTGATGCTGGAGACAGCCTAGGACTGAGCTAAACTTCAAGGCTCTGGGATTGCAGAACAACTTTCCCTGCATATCAGCAAGTCCTGGGTTTTACCTGTCTCTTAACATTTCTTACTTGGTTTAAGAACAGACATAGAGGGAACCAGCAGTTAGCGTAATGGCTATGTCGCTGGATTCCCATGTAGTCGACCGCGGTTCGCGTCCCAGACCCGGTGGCTTAAAACTCACGCCAGGCGCGTGTGTGGGCGTGAGAGGACAATGGAGGAGAAGGGATTGCGGTGTGACCATCCTCCCAGGGGGTGATTTCTCGCTTTCTGTCTCTATGTCTCTGTCTGTCTGGCGAGCGCACGCACCCTATAGCAAAAGTCTCTCGTGGTTACATCACTGGTTGGCATCACGGTTACATCACTGGACTCCTACATGGCCAACCCACATGATCAAGTCCCAGATCTAGTGGCTTCAAACTCATGCTGGGCACATATGCATGTGGGCTCAAAATCCCGAGAGGAAATGGAGGAGAAAGGACTGTGGTATGGCCATCACTCCCACCCTGGGCATGATTTCTCACTTTCTGTATTTCTGTTTCTCTCTCTCTGGCAAAGTGCACATGCCCTATAGCAAAAAAAAAAAAATCTCTCCCTTAAAAAAAAAAAAAATAATAATAATCCATCACTTACAGTAACTACAGAAACAGACTCCAACTGAAGGACTCATTAATTAAATGATACACTTCTGCCTATGAGCTGTGTTCCCTTCTGCATTGGAACCTATGATACATATCAACATGGCCCATCACCTTCAGGGCTACCTCAGGGGAGCTTAAATAAAAAGAACAATTACCCTTCAAAATTGGATCCTCTCTTTCCTGAAACTTGGTGGTGAAATTATTAAATGAAATTCTTAGGTGAGAGAGCTCAAAAAGGTCTAATATTAATGAAACATGAGAAAGGGTCTTCTCCTACTTGAAAAACACTAATGGTACATTAGAGAAGACTTGACTAGTGAATTATTTTGCTAATAGACACATTACCCTACCCAGGGCAGGGTCCATGACAAGGAAAGAATTAAAATTATTTCCCCCTGCCTCCACTCTCTGAAGCCAACAGAAGCATAAGTACTGAGATGGCACTTCATCATTTGCCTATCCCGATGATAAGCTCCTTGTTAAATTTAAGTGCATCCCACCTACCCTTGTTCATAAAACCTTGGTAGCCCTCTTCCCTCCTGCCAGTCTATACCCTGGCACTGCAGAACCCCAGCACTTTACTTACTTCAACTGGTTTCCCTCACCCACTCTTTCACCATGAGTTCCATAAGCTCTGCAGCCAGGCCTTGGCTCAGCTGAGTTAATACCAATTCTCTCTCTTGTTTCAACCTACAGTAAAAGATAAAGCACAAGGGTAATGTTTAAGAGTAAAAATAAGAGATGTCTGTTTTAGTCCTTGACCATGTAGATAAGGATTTAAATTATGCTCCCTACGTTGGCAAGACATCCCTATTCCAACTCCCCTGTCACCACCATCTCTCCCCTGCCTGTCCTGGCTAAAGAGTGGCCACTACTCACAAGGTGATTATGGCCTGGATACCCCCCCACACACACACTCCTTGGGCCAATGCATATGAGGGTACTATAGGGTGATTGGGAAAGCCATGACACATTTCTGCAAAGAAAAACAGAAAAGTACGTCATGACTTTCCCAACAACCTAATAAATGGGCCAGCAGGGGTCTGAGAGTAGCACAGTAGACTATAGGGCTGGCATTACAGGCTAGGACCAGTTTTCTCCTGTGTCCATACACTCTGACCTCCCTCCATGCCCTGCTATAAGGACAAGACACACTCACCTTTCCTCTTCAGCCTGTCGCCTCTCTTCCTCCCTTCTCTCCCTTTCCTTAGTCACTTCTTCAGCTGCAATGTGCCTCAGAATGCCTGCAGTTGCAGCTGTTAACAGATCCTCCATAGCAGCAATAGAAACACTATACAGAGAAAGCATTCAAAATCAGAAGAAAAAGAAAATCCAAGCAAACCACAACTAAACTTCCAACACTGACAAGGAAGACAAATACTTACTTGGCTTTTGGCATAAAATTTACACCTATTAAACATACAATCTACCAAAGTTGAAACAAGAAGAAAACCCTAGGGGCAGAAGGCTTCACTGGCAAATTCTACCAAACAGTTGAAGAAAAATTAACACCAATTCTCTCTTCAAACACACAAAAATTGAAGGAAAGATAAAATTTCCTAATTCTGTGAGGCCAGCATTGTCCTAATACCAAAGACACAACATAAAAACTTCAGGCCAATATTCCTAATGAATATTGATGTAAAAATTCTCAACAAATACTAACAAACTGAATTTGGCAGCAAAATTAAAAGATTATATGCCATTACCAAGTGGGATTTACTCCAGAAATGCAAAAATAGCTCAATATATAAAAGAAAACATTTCTGTTGCTGCAGAAAGAGCATCTAACAAAATTAAACACCATGTCATGACTAAAAAGAAAGAAAAAAACAAACTAAGAATAAAAGAGAACTTCCTTAATATGACAAAAGTCATATATGAAAAATGACATCCTTCTTAGTGGTAAAAGACTGAAAACTTTCCCTTAAAAAGGACTAGACAGGGATCAGCAGTTAGTGTAATGGCTATGTCGCTGAATTCCCAACGTAGCTGACCACGGTTCGAGTCCTGGACCCAGTGGCTTAAACTCATGCCAGGCGCATTTGCGTGTGTGCCCAAGATCCTGAAAGGAAAATGGAGGAGAAGGGATTGCAGAGTGGCCATTCCCTCTGGGGGGTGATTTCTCGCTTTCTATCTCTCTGTCTGTCTGGCGAGCGCACACACCCTATAGCAAAAACCTTTCCACACACACAAAAAAAAGGACCAGACAAGGATGCCCACTTTTGCCACTTCCATTCAAAGCAATACTGAAAGTTACAGCCATAAGTTAGAAAAGAAAAAGAAATAAAAAGCATCCAAATTAGAAAGGAAGAATGTAAACTATATTTATTCACATATTATATGATCTTATATATAGAAAACTCTAAGGAATCCAACAAAAACCTATTAGAATGCATTCAGCAAGGTTGAAGGATAAATATCAATATAGAAAAATCAATGGTATTTTTATATGCTATCAATGAAAAAATAAAAATATGAAATTAAGAAAATAATCTCACTTATAATAGCATCAAGATTAATAAAATAATTGGGAATAAATTTAATAAAGGAGGCAAAACTATATACTGAAAGCCATAAAACACTGCTGAAAGAAATAAAAAACAAACTAAATAAATGGAAAGACATCCCATGTTCACAGATTGGGAGAATTCAGTGTTGATGGATTGGAAGATGTAATATTGTTTACATAGTAATATTTCCCAGAGGAATCTACAGATTCAGTGAAACCCTATCATAATCCTAACAGGATTTTTTGCAAAAATAGAAAAACTCATCCTAAAATTCACAAGGAACCTGACTATCTAAGCAATCATGAAAAAGAATTAAGTTGAAGGATTCATGTTTTGATTTCAAAACCTACTACAAAAGCTACATTAGCCAAAAACAGTGTGATACTGACATAAGGACAGACACACAGACCAATAGAATAAAACAGAGAGCAGAGAAATAAACCCTCATATATATATAGCCAAGTGATTTTTTTTTTTTTTGTAGAGGTTTTTGCTATAGGGCACGTGCACTCGCCAGACAGACAGAGAGAGACAGAGAGATAGAAAGCGAGAAATCACCCCCCAGGGGGGAGGGCCACGCCTCAATCCCTTCTCCTCCATTGTCCTCTCGGGATCTTGGGCATGCACGCACATGCACCTGGCGTGAGTTTAAGCCACCAGATCCGGGACTTGAACCGCAGTCGACTACGTGGGAGTCCAGTGACATAGCCATTACGTTAACTGCTGGTCTCACCAAGTGATTTTTAACAAGGGGGCTAAGACCATTCGGTGGAGAAAGGAGAGGCTTTCCTAGTGAGGAAACTACACTACCATATACAAAAAAATAAAGTTGGACTCTTATCCTACGCCATATAAAAAATGAGAGAGAGACCAAAAGACGGTGTTAAGTTATCTCGCTGGACTCCAACACCCAGCAGCTTAAAACATGCTGGGGGCATGTGCCTACGTGCCTAAAATCCTTAGAGGAGAATGAAATAGAAGAGATGGCGACATGGTCATCTTCCTGGCGGGTGATTTCTCCCTCTGTGTCTCTCTGGCTAGCACGCATGCCCTACAGCAAAAAAACTCTCTAAAAAAAAAAAAAAAGAAGACATAGAAATGAATGAATCAAAGAACTTAAGAATTAAAGCTATAAAACTTTTGTTCATAGAAATGAATGAATCAAAGAACTAACTTAAGAATTAAAGCTATAAAACTTTTGTTATTGTTATTTTGTTAAGAGGTTTTTGCCTTAGGGCATGTGCACTTGCTGGAGAGAGAAAGAGACAGAGAGAGTGTGAGGGAAAATGAGAATCACCCTGCAGGGGAAATGGCCATACTGCAATCCCTTTTCTTCCATTCTCCTCCTGGGATCTTGGGCTCACACGCACACACGCCCAATGAGTTTCAGGCCACTAGGTCTGCTGTGGCTGGCCATGCGAGAGTAAAGTGACATAACTGCTATGCCATCTGCTGGCCCAAGACTGTAAAATTCTTAAAAGGGAAAACCTTTATGACACTGAATTTGGTCATGATTTCTTAGATATGACCCAAAAAGCACAGACAGCAAATAAAGAAAAAATAGACAAATGAAACTACATCAAAATTTAAAACTTTGGGTCCAGCAGATGGCATGGAGGTTAAGGCACTGAATCCCATATTGCTATCTGTGCAGTTCAAGCCCTGTACTTGGCAGCTTTAAAATCATGCCAGGCATATGTGCATGTGCGCCCAAAATCCCAAGAAGAGAATAGAAAAGGGATTGTGGTGTGGCCATCCCACCTTGGAAGGTGACTTTTCTCTTTCTCTCTCTTTCTCTGTCTCTCTCCGATGAGGGTACACGTACAACAACAAACTAACAAAAAAATAATATCAGGTCCAGCAGTAATGCTCTATAAATTCTGGACTCACATGGGAAGGTCCCTGATTCATATCCAAGGGCTCCCATACACTCCACCTGAGCCCATGCCCATGATCTAGGCTGGCAGGAGTGGACCACCATGTGAAGACCCTATTGGGAGTGCTTGTCTCTCTCGCTCCTGTTTCTATAATTTATGGAATAAATAACAATACTTTAATGAAAGAAATTTTAAATTTTGCACAACAAACAATGCTATTAAGAGAGTGAAAAGACAGGACCAGCAATTGGCATGGCTATCGCTGAACACCCGTGTAGTGAAACCACTTTGAGTCCCAGACCTGGTGGCTTAAACTCACGCCGGGCACATATGCATGCGTGCCCAAGATCCCGAGAGGAGAATGGAGGAGAAGGGATTGCAGCGTGGCCATCCCCCCTGGAGGGTGATTTCTCACTTTCTCTCTCTGTCTCTGTCTTTCTGGCAAGCACACACGCCCTATAGCAAAAACCTCTCCAGAAAAAAAAAAGGAAGAAAATATTTTCAGGGCCAGAAATGGTTAAGACAGCCATAGCCTAGTGATTAAGGGACCAGGATCCCAGCCCCAGTGGCATGAAAAACACAATGGGCTCATGTGCATGCATACCCAAATCCTGAGAGGAGAAAAGAGGAAAAGAGGTTGCAGCATGGCCATCCCTTTCTACATGATTTCTCACTTGCCATCTTTCTTGTCTCTTTCTCTGTGTCTATTTCCAGAGAGTGAACATGCCCTATAGCAAATTTTAAAATAAATAAATACAAAAATAAAATAAAATAAACAAACACAGGAGATCAAACCTGTTACCCTTATGATGGATATTATAAAAATGAAGCAAACAACAACAAAAATAGATGATAACTGGGACCAGCAGTTAGCGTAATGGCTATGTCGCTGGACTCCCACGTAGTCAACTGTGGTTCGCGTCCCGGACCCGGTGGCTTAAAACTCACGCTGTGCACGTGTGCGTGCGTGCCCAAGATCCCGAGAGGAGAATGGAGGAGAAGGGATTGTGACGTGGCCATTCCCCCTGGGGGGTGATTTCTCACTTTCTATCTCTCTGTCTCTCTGTCTGTCTGGTGAGGGCACGCACCCTATAGTAAAAACCTCTCCAAAAAAAAGACAGATGATAACAAGGGTTGGCAAGGACACAAAAAACCCTGGAGCATTGCTATAAAATGGTAGTCACTGTGGAAAACAATTTGATGGTTTCTCAAAAAATTAAAATAGTTTATATGACCCAGCAATTATAATCTAGCAAAATGAACTTTGAAGGTATTATGCTAAGTGAAACACGGAAGACATAAAAAGACAAATAACAGGACCAACAGTTGGCATAATGGCTATGTCTCTGGACTCCCATGTAATCGACTGCAGTTTGAGTCCTGGACCCGGTGGCTTAAACTCACGCTGGGCGCATGTGCGTGCATGCCCAAGATCCCGAGAGGAGAATGGAAGAGAAGGGATTGCAGCATGGCCATCCCCTACCCGGGGGGGTGGGGGGGGAGTGATTTCGTGCTTTCTGTCTCTCTGTCTTTCTGGTGAGCACATGTGCCCTGTAGCAAAAACTTCTCCAAAAAAGCAAAAAGACAAATACTATATTAATGCACTTATGTGAAATACCTGGAGTAGGCAAATTTATAGAAAACAGAGTAAAACAGAGGTAACAAGGGGCTGGGTAAAGGGAAAAAATAGGGAATTACTGTTTAATGGATATAGAGCTTCCATTTGTAATGATGGAAAAGTTCTGAAGTAGTGATCATATTAATAAATATATAACATCATGAATGTATTTTATGCCACTGGATGATAAATATAAAGATGGCTAAAATGTTAAATTCTATTAGGTATATTTTGCTATGTTAAAAAAATTAATCCCTGGGCTGGCAGGTGGCATGGTGGTTAAGGGCGCTGGACTCCCACATGGCCGACCACGGTTTGAGTCTTGGACCAGGTGGCTTGTTTTCTCACTTTCTCTCCTCTCTATCTCTCTCTGGTCAAATTAAAAAAAAAAAAAAACAAAAAAAAAAAAAAAAAAAAAAAAAAAGCCTATCATAAATCATTAAAAAAAAAAAGAATCCCATAAAAATAACATCTTTTTGGGGCCAGCAGGTGGCATGCTGATTAAAGGCGCTGGGTTCCCACATGGCGAACCAGAGTTCAAGTCCCAGAGCTGGTGGCTTGCTTTCTTGCTTTCCCTTTCTCTCTCTCTGTCTGGTCAAATTAAAAAATAACAATAACAAATGGAGTTAAATAAATAAATATTTTTTAAAATGAAAAAAATCATTTCTTTTTAGTTTCATTAAACATATATATCTAACTATAGAGTAAACAAATAGATCAAACTTCTAGACAAGGTTGAACCTTTTGGACAATCTAATTTTACACAGGAGAAATGACACCTTTTCTTATCACTGTGCAGTTAGTTTTTTTAAAGGTTATTTTTAAGATTTATTTTATCTTATTTTATTTATTCTTCTTCTTCTTCAATTTGATCAGAGACAGAGAATGAGAAAGCAAGGCACCAGGTCCAGGACCTAAACCACAATAGGATTTGTGGGAGTCCAGCACCTTAACCATCATGCCACCTGCCGGCTCCCATTCTAAGATTTTTAAAAGATGTTTGCAATCCTTGAGAAAACCAGATTCATGACATTTATTCCACCTCAGTTGGCTTTATAAAAGTTGCTTAAGAATCTGGAAAGATTTGTATCATTACATTTATTACGATTAAAGTAGGGACCAGCAGATGGCATGGTTACATTGCTGGACCAACCACAGCTCAAATCCCTAACCCGGTGGCTTAAAACAGCCCAGGAGCATGTGTGTGTGTGCCCAAAATCCCACGAAGACAATGGAGAAGGGACTGTGGTGTGGCCAACTCCCCTGGGGGGAAAATTTCTTACTTTCTGTCTTTCTGGCAAGCACATATGTATTATAACAAAAATCTCTCAAAAAAAAAAAAAAAAAAACTGAAGTAAAATTGTTTTGGCACCAGCAGATGAGGTAATGGTTACATCGCTGGACTCCCACGTAGTTGACCACGGTTTGAGTCCTGGACTCAGTGGCTTGAAACTCACAGTAGGCACATGCATGTCCAAAATCCCAAGAGGAGAATGAAGAAGTGATTGCAATGTGGCCATCCCCTGGGGGTGATTTCTCGCTTTCTGTCTCTCGTTTCTGTCTCTCCAGAGTATATGCGCCCTATAGCAAAAATCTCCCTAAAAATAAAAAGTGAATATTTAAAATTTTTAACAGTGAATCTCTCCAGAGAGTATATGCGCCCTATAGCAAAAATCTCCCTAAAAATAAAAAGTGAATATTTAAAATTTTTAACAGTGAATGGACTTTTACTTTATTAGATTTTTAAATTACATTTAAAGTTATGTTTAGGACCAGCAGTTAGCATAATGGCTATGTCACTGGACTCGCATGTAGTCGACCGTGGTTCGAGTCCCAGACCCAGTGTCTTAAACTCACGCCAGGCACGTATGCGTGCATGCCCAAGATCCCGAGAGGAGAATGGAGGAGAAGGGATTGCTGCATGGCCATCTCCCCTGGGGGGTGATTTCTCGCTTTCTGTCTCTGTCTGGCGAGTGCACGCACCCTACAGCAAAAACCTCTCAAAAAAAAAAAAAAAAAGTTAAGTTTAAAGAAAATTTTAATTTATAAACTTTAATAAACCATCTGTTGCCCAAAAAGTATATGCAAATGGAAATTATATGCCAGTGAGAAAGAGGTCAAAAACATAAGAAAAGCATCCACCTGGGGAACGAGGCCCACATTTAGGCCTCAGGAGATGAAAAGTCCCTGAAAATGGCACCAGGAGTTTTAGGCCTATACAAATGAGCAACTGTCATCTCTTGAAGAATGAGAGTGGCTATTTGAGAGGAAACATCTGGAAGGACATGTTTGGCCTCCAGCAAGTATAGACAGCTTCAGAGTGGGCTCAGCCCTAGATGACACTCACCCCAGAGCCGCAGCTGCATAGGCAGCCCCAGCAGTGCCAATCTCTTCACAGTCCCTCTGGAGAGCTTCCTGGATGAGTTCCTCTACCACTTGTGCTAGGTCCTATGGAGAGATTCACATGAAGGTCTAACACAAAGTTCTACCTAGAGCAGAAAATGCACTGCACAGCCTCAGGAAAGGCTTCCTCCAATAAGCGGAGAATTTGTGCCTTCTGGAGGGCACTGGAAATCACTGTTGGAAACCAACCTGCTGCTTGCTGGAAACCACCCTGCAGCTGGCCGCAGTAACAACCTTGGCCCAGATTTCTTGTCCACATCAAACATCCTCAATTTCTGTGGCCATTCTTAACACTCCCCTCAGGACTCCCTGATCCCACAGTGGGGTTATTGCCCCAACACCTGCCCCTCCTTGGGCAGCCACAGTAATACAGTCAAATCCCATACTATGCAGACCCTCTCAACCCCAAAGTCACCCTGTCAGTAGGCATGCAACTCTGTGATCCCACAGATCCTAAACAACCTGCCTGCTGGCCACCTCCAGAACACAAGGGTTGAGTTTAGCCAGCTCAGATACACAGGGCAGTGATGAGACAGAGGACAGTAAGACTGTTGTGATGGAGATGGAGCTCTATGGTTAGCCTAATTTGGTAAGTCTGAACTCTGCCCTCTAAGGCTGAGGACTTCCTTCAACTCTGCCTGGCTCCTGGCTTTTGAGGCCAGGTGACACAGCCCCAGCCCACAGGGCAGTGGTGGCAAATACACCTGTGCATAACAGGTTTCTCAGAGGCCTGGTCTAGAAGATTCCTACCGCATCAGAGTAGACGGGTACAGGCTTTGAAGAAAGTAGCTCAGACTGCATAGAAGGCTGGAAGGGGCTAGGTGTCAACGATGAGGTCAATGTTGGAATGTGAGGCAGAGGCACTGGCGAGGGTGTAGGGGCAGGAAGAGACTGCAGGAGGAGGCCAGGTGGGGGTGCATCTGGCTCTGCCCCACACTCTTCTCTATCCACACCTGAAAAGAAACACACAGAGGAATAAATGACACTACCAACTCTTGGTGCCCAGGACCATGTATACTGTCATCTCCAGGTAAAATCAGCTCTAGCCTATCCACAGTGATCCTGAGGACTGGCCTGACCTCCCTAACCATAATGGGGTACCTCCTAAAGATATGTCCTGTGAGATGCTGTGTGCTTCACGTAAAACAAGCAGTGTGATGTTAGAGAATCAGGAAGAGATACATCAGAGCTCTTCAGTCCACTGTAGGTGAGCAATAACTGCACACAAAGCCACACCCCTCAGCCCCCAAATAAGACACTTGCTTCTGGTATCAAAAAACTTCTAGAGGGAACCAGCAGTTAGCGTAATGGCTATGTCACTGGACTCCCACATAGGCGACCGCGGTTCGCGTCCCGGACGTGGTGGCTTAAAACGCACGCCGGGCGCGTGTGCATGCGTGCCCAAGATCCTGAGAAGAGAATGGAGGAGAAGGGATTGCGGCGTGACCATCCCCTCTGGGGGGTGATTTCTCGCTTTCTGTCTCTCTGTCTCTCTCTGTCTGGCGAGCGCACGCACCCTATAGCAAAAACCTTTCCAAAAAAAAAAAAAAAAGCTTCTACAGAGAAACTCTAGCTTCACTCACCTGCTACGTCCAAACTGGGTCTCTTAGTGCTGGGCAGTTCTGTGGCCAGGCTTTCCCCAACATACTTGTTCTGGGAGTTGAAACTGCACACTGGAGTGTGACGAGGGACAGGGGGCAGTGGCCCTCCATTCACGACTTCCCCAACTGACATCAGCAGCTTCCTAGTAATAAACACTGATTTCCTGGCCTTGCATAGTCCTTCTGGTTCCAAGAATGCTGATCGGTTCAGTTCGACACAACTAATTAGACCACAAAAAAGCCCAGAGAGCGTTACCGGGGGAAAGAAAGGCTGGTTTTCTCAGTGTCTCACTACAGCATGGAAACCCCTTCAGCTGAAGCAACAAACCCTAGCCTATGTCTTCACAGGCTGCATGCAAATGAGGAGGGGAGAGACAAGCCCCAGAACCCACTGCTGCCAGCCCTGGCATTCTGTTACACGCTATAGAACCACTTATCCTGATGTGCAAATGGCCCCACATGGAGCAACACATGCCTACATGTCCCTGTCTTGTGAATGTCACATGGCTCATTCAAAATCACCCCATTTATGTTAGGCCAAGACTGAAGGGAGGAAAGGTGAAGGGGAGGGGGTGGGAAATCCCCACCATGGGAAGTCAAATATAAGAGTGCCATTTTCTAGGACAGGGTTCAGGAGTGTTATAGTCTTAAAAGGCCCAACTAGAAGACTCTAGCATAGCATCCTGGTGCCTCTTTCTCAGCCATGAGAAGTGGGAAGTGGCCTGTCAAAGCCCAGCAAAGGCAGTCTTCAAAGGACAGAATAAGGAAGGTCCTAGCCTTTGTAAGAAGCACTGACTTTCAAGTCATGAAGAATTTGGTTCAAAGCTTGTGACCTTGGGAACCTTCCCCAGCCATTCTGAGTATCAGTGTGTTCATTAGGGAGGCAGCATGTAAAACATGCCTTCACCACAGCCAGATGACCAGCTGACATTTCAGAGCCCTTGGTTGGAATTTAAAAAGAAATAGAGAGGGACCAGCAGTTAGCGTAATGGCTATGTCGCTGGACTCCCATGTAGTCGACCGCGGTTCGCGTCCCGGACCCGGAGGCTTAAAACTCATGCCAGGTGCATGTGCGTGTGTGTCCAAGATCCCGAGAGGAAAATGGAGGAGAAGGAATTGTGGTGTGGCCATTCCCCCGGGGTGTGATTTCTCGCTTTCTGTCTCTCTGTCTGTCTGGCAAGAGCACGCGCCCTATAGCAAAAACCTCTCCCCGCCTCCAAAAAAAAAAAAAAGAAAAAGAGAAAGGCCCACAGTTCATTCTTGGTTCTTACCCATCAGAAACAGTGAGCCCATGATAGCTGAGGAAATCTGTTGCCTCTTCAGTGTCTCTAAACAGCAACATGCGCACCACACCATCTAGAGGAAAGACGGTGGATCGCTGTGTGCTCACAGTGTATGCAACATTGAGCGCTCTGAGTGCATCCTTGCGGATCTGAAAGGAAAAGCGGGTCACTACAGTGACAGATGACCCATTATATGCAAACATCAGCTACCCAACAACCACAGAAATGACCAGAACATGGGACTACTGAGGCAGTCCCTCTAAGCAGTATGTTAGGCAGGATAGGTGCCCAGAAATTATAGGCAATGCACGTAACAGCAAGTGCCTAGGAATACTGCTAAGCAAACAGCCTGAAAGGAAAGCATGGTCCATAAAAGATTTATAAGAAAAACCAGAAAACAAACTGTCTATCAACAATGGCATGTAAAATAAATTGCACAGCATCACTCAGTGAAAGGTTGTGTACTTGCTAAAAAGCCATCAGGAAGACTGGACTGCCATGGAAACATACAGAATATGGAATCAAGTGTAGTAGCTAGAGATAAAATTGTTTCATAGCATTTTAAGTGCCTTAAAAAAAAAAAGAAGACAGGGCCAACAGGTGGCGTGGTGAAGGCGCTGTACTCCCACATGGTTGATCACAGTTTGAGTCCCAAATGTGGCAGCTTCACTTTCTCTCTCATCAAATTAAAAATTAATTAATTAATTAAATCAAATAATTATTTTTTTAAAAAAGATAACAAAGGAAAGCATGTGAAACACTAACAAAAATCACATTGGAATGCTAGGACTATGAGTGACTACTTGCTGTTCCTTTTCCAATGTGCTTTAATTCAACTAATACTTACCAAGTATTCACTACATGCCTGGCTAAGAATATAACAGAAAATGAAACAAAATTTCTGTTCCCACTTAGCTGATGTGCTAAGGGAAACATGCAATGCTTTAAAAAAAAAAATACATAGGCCAGGGAGTGGCACGGTGGTAACACAACTGAACCCACATGGGAAAGGTCCTGAGTTCATGACTGGCTGAGACTAGGGGTGGACAGAAGCATGAAGAGCCTGTTAGTGGAAACTGTCTGTCTCTGTGTCCCATGAAAGAAACAGACTTTAAAGAAAAGGAATATGCAACATTCACGTAAATGGTGAATAAATGCAATAGATGCAAAAAAATGCAATGGCAGAAAAGGGAGCACTGATGGGTGGTTGCTTGGTTAGGGGTCCTGTTGAGAAAGTAACAGCCAAGTCAAGACCTAAAGAAGGTAAGAAAACAAATGCCAAGTGGCTCTGCAAGGGCAGAAGATAGTAATGAGATCAACAAGTGCAAAGACCAAGGTAGGAGTCCCAGAGCTAGTCAGACAGGAGATCTCGCCCCAGCAGCACTGCAAGGAGGGAGCAAGACAGTGGCACTCTGAGGCTACTATAAAAGAGAGAACAGATTTTTCTATGGAAAGAAATCTTTTAAAAATAAATAAATAAATAACTTAGGGTTCTCTTTGTTTAAACTTATTAAAAATGGAGTTTTTTCTTCTTTATTCATGATAGAACATGAAAGAGAGAGAAGCACCCTTCACAGCATCTGATCACAATGCAATTCTGTTCCTCTCGTCCTCCAGCCTGTCAGATCTGACACCTGTACAAGTGCCTATTGTGTTCTGTCTGATCAGGCCAGGGATTCCAACCGCAGTCACCATGTGGGACATACCTTTTCTTGAGCAGCGTATTACCACTCTGCTACTGGGCCAGGCCAAAAAACAGTCAACATTCAGGGCCAACAGGTAGCATGGTGGTTAAAGTGCTGGACTCCCATATGGCTGATCATAGTTCAAGTCTCAGACCCAGTGGCTTGAAAATCATGCTAGGCACATGTGAGTGTGCCCAAAACTCTGAGAAGAGAATAGAGGAGAAAGGCCTGTGGCATGCCATCCTTCCTGGGGTGGATAATTGGTCACATTCCTTCTCTCTGTCTCTATCTCTGGTGAGTGTATGTATCCTACAGCAAAACCTTTAAAAAATAAAAAAGTCAAAAAAACCATTTAAATAAATAAATAAGTCAACATTCTAATAGCATAAAATACTAACTCTTAAATTTTATTTAACAGTTTGGGACCAGCAGGTGGCGTGGTGGTTAAGGGCACTGGACTCCCATATGGCCAACCAGGTTCAAGCCCCGGACCTGGCGGCTTGCTTTCTCACTTTCTTTCTCTCTCTATCTTTCCCCCCGTCTCTGGTCACAGTAAAAGAAGTAAATAAATAGCTAAAGTTAAATAATTTTTTTTTTTTTAATTTAACAACTGTACTGAGTTTCTCAAGTGGCAGGATTTTAGAAACTTTTTTACTTGTTCCAAAATTTCAGATCTGATAAAACCAAAAAATTTTCTAAAGATCCTTGGCCTGGATATAGTCACTGATAACAGGAAGACTTGGTATGTGACAGAAGAGGATGACCTGAAATCACAGACTAAGTGGGGCAAACGCCTCTCCACTCAGTGGCCTCCAAGGACTCCCAGCAAGCATGTCAGGTGGCATCCTTGTACCCTACAGGTGGGATGAGCAGCACAATGTATGCCAGGCGAGGAGACGTACGCTAGGAGGTGAGCAATGATACTGGTCACATCTCTCTGAGCCAAGATGCATGGGTCTAGAATAGTAAGTGTTGGGATGGGGAGTTCTGTTAGATCCCCCAAGTGTCCCCCACAGGGGTGGAGCTGAAGAATAGACTTCGAAAATTCTGGGACCAAGAGTTTCTACTCTGCATGCAACCCCACGTAAAGGCCTGGTCTGTCCACTGCCTCTGTAACCCCAGCGCACAGCCTGGTGCTCAGCACACTATGTAGCAAACAGCAAACTCTTCACTATTTATTGAAGTGAATTTAGCATCACCCACTCAATCCAAAAATTAAAATTAGTAATAGCAGGAAAGTTATGACGTATTTTTCTATGTTTTTCTATGTAAAAATGTATCATTACTTTCCCAATGACCCAATACTAAGAATTTCAAAGTTGGGGGTTTTGTAAATTTGCTATGGAGCAATTTTCATGGTAGATGATGGATAGTGCTGAACTTGCAAGAGTTCTCTTACTTAAACCAGGAGACAATGTTCCCATTACACACTATCTTCTGAGTGTGTAATGGTGATCAGCAGTATGACCCCTGTAAAATGGAGCTCATGGAGCTGTTGCAAGGGTTACATAAGACTCGCACATGCTAGCTTAGAAAAGCTATTAGAACAGAGAAGCACTGAGTATCACAAGGAACAATCTGCTTTTTTCCAATTCTGCAAGCACAGTTGGGTTACTCACCTGGTTAAAGTAATAGTGTAAAAGACAAGCATTCAGATAAGAAGCTGACTGGACCAGTTTGAAAAATCTCACAAAATTATTACTATTCAATGCAGCAAAAGCCTGAACAGCAAATTTCACCTCAGAGGAGTTTCTAACAGCAGGATGAAATTGTTGTACTTCTCTGTTAATTAAAGAAGATAAAAGGAGTTAGAGTGTTATTTTTAATTTAACAGAATTTCCATAAAGATAGATGTGATAAATAACTAGATTTTAACTACACTGAGAAAGAGGGAATGAGTGGTGAAATGTTACATTATATTCACACTTCACTAACTTGGAAGCTACCCCACTTGGACTGTATCGGCTGTTAAGGTTTTCTTTAAAAAGATGACGAGTAAACAAATTCAAGCAACAATTTAGGAATCAATTATTAAAAAGTTACTTTAAAGTCATGCTAACTGACAGCCAACTGTATTTTGACAACAAAGTCCAAAACCAGAAAACTTTGTTTTGTTTGGCAATATACTAATTCAACAGGATTTCTCAAGATCGGAGATAAATGCTTATCCTACAAGAGACTACACTGCTATTTTTCATAACTAATCTATAAGGTTTAATTTTACAACTTAAAATCAATCACACGTCTATTGTTAGATAATCTGCAACAAGATTCTAGGGCAGGGACCAGCAGTTAGCATAATGGCTATGTTGCTGGACTCTCATGTAGTCGACTGTGGTTCAAGTCCCAGAACCAGTGGCTTAAACTCACGCCAGGTGCATGTGCGTGCATGCCCAAAATCCTGAGAGGAGAATGGAGGAGAAGGGATTG